CCCCCCCCCCCCCCCCCCCCCCCGCAAAAGACACCCAAGACAATCTCGTCTACCGGGGTCATGTACATTATTTGAATAAAACGAGGCGCCTCATGAGACCTCATGACACCTCATGGGATGGCTCATGAGGTGCCATGAGGTGTAATTGCCGGCTCATGGGGCCACATGAGACCCCATGTCACCTCACGATATCGCTCATGAGACACCTCACAAAACGTCTCGTGAGTCGTCTCACGAGCGGTTCCGTGAGGTACCGTGAGCACCTTGTGAAGCGTTCCACGAGACGCCTCAAGAGGTATCCTGACATACACCTCATCACACCTCATAACACCCCACGGCGCCTCGTGGCATCCCACGAGGCCTCATCAGACCTCGTGACACCCCCATGATGCCTCATCACAACTCATGACACCTCGTGACGCCCTATGACAACTCACGACACCTTATAAGGCCGAAAAACACCTGATTTGACCACAATGAAACCTCATGACACCCTGCGACGCAACATGCACCTCATGAGACTGCGTGAGACCTCACGAGACCTCATGGTGCCTCATGAGACCTTATGACACCTCATGGAGTCGTACAAGACCTCCTTGTACGCTATAGAGACTCGTGGGGTCTGATGTACCTCATGAAACCCCACGGCATACCGTGTCACCCAATGGACCCCGCCATGGGCCTTCGCCAACGCTAGGATCCCGCACGATCGCTGTGAACCGGACGATGAGGTAAACGGCACGCCCCAGACCGCGATGGGCCGCTGCCTACACCAGGTTTACTGACCGTTTGGCACGCTCGTTTGGCACGCCATTGCTCCTCCGTGGGCCTGTCATTGAACCGTGAAGCACTATATCACGCGCGAGGCACACCCGAACACGAAATGCCACACCATGGCCTGCACTCGTCCGCACGAGGTTCCAACCGTCGTGGCGCGTAATCGCATTTCGAAACACCGCGCCGTGGGTCGTCCTAACCGCCGTGTATCCAGGGGTTATGCATATTTTGGGCGCAACGGGAAAGCATAATCGCAAGTGTGTATATGAACCTCGCGGTGGGCATTGAACTTAGGTAACATCGAGATGCCATGGGACCTCCTGGGCCAACGGTCTCTCGCAGTGGAACGTGCAAACTGACACCGCAGTATCCCATGGGATGTAATCGGACCGATTCGATGAAACGGACACCCCATGCGCGGTTCAAGAAGAGCCTGTCGCCCGTATTACGTCACGCCGAAGGCTCCTTTACGGGTTCGGGTGCGGTGCCCCGCGCCATATGTGGCCGGATCGTGCCAAGTTCTTTTTTCTCGAGCTATAATTTCTCAATGAGGTATACAGAATCATGTGATAACAATGTCACTAAGATGTACATGTAGCAGGAAAGGACCAAAGGAAACCACGTCATACATTGGGGCATCTGATCAATTTCCCTGACTAGCCATGGCTGCACCAACTACGTGCGTGCTACCTGCGCTACCCCTAATTCTACCCCTTAGTGGCTTTCGGTAGGCCTACAAGTACGGCAGACGTATACTGTACCTTGATTCTCGATGCTACTGCACCAACTAAGAAACAGGATGAACAGAAAGCACTTCTCTGCGCTTGTTCACCAGCATTATTTGCGGGCTGACTACAATCAACTTTTAAACCAGGCAGCCCAAACGTTGCTCCACCTAGACTGATGTGCTACACCCTATCCCTGAGCTGGCGTGATCTTATCGGGCATTTCCATCGTATCTCGAGGTCGGGATAGTGTATATTCGATAAAGTTTCACCATTAGACTAGTCAGCGCTGACTAGTCTAATGGTGTAACTTTATCGAATAGTGGATCCAGTGGATGTACATGCTTTTGTCGCGCCTGGCGAGGGGTCCATCCCCGGAGATTCAAGCCATAAACCCCATAAATGTGATCCAGCCGGGTGCAAATGAGCTCTGAGCATTTCTTTTATTCGATAGAGTCACACCATTAGACTAGTCAGCGCTGACTAGTCTAATGGTGTGACTTTATCGAATAGTGTATCCAGTGGATGTACATGCGCAACATGCAATATGTAGGAATCCAAGGCGTGGGCTCTTGAAATTTGAATTTTGAGTACACCATGCTTACCCCCTGCCACCCAAAATCGTTTCCAAAAACTGCATTAGGTGGAAATACAACCTAGGTATATGGCGGCAGCAGAATTAGGCTGCAAGAAACCATCCTCGCGCAGAGGCATGTTTGCGTGTGAAGCTCGCTCGGTGATGGAGCTGCTGCTACATGATGGTACGCCCCAGCTAATGTTCAACATTTCACCCTACCGTGTGTAACTGGACGTATAGAACATACCCTGGTGTTCCCTGGCATTGTGATTACATACCCCTCTTAAAAACTGGACAGTTTAGCCCCTCCTTCGCCCTAGAGCGGGTGCAAGGTGGAGGTCTGCTGTGGCCGCGATCGAGCCGCCGGATCAGAGGGGTTTTCCACATGCGGCTTCTTCCCCGTTGGAAGCTTTTTTCTCACTTGCTTTTTTTTTTTATGCCGTGCAGCACTGAGCAGCAAAGCAGCCCCTCATCAGCTCTGCGTCTCTTGCGCCCGTCCTACACAAACTGCTCCAGGCGACAAACCATACATCTAAACCAGGCAGAGAAGAATGTCTGGGAACGGTGGCGAAAAGCGAAAGGCAGACGAAATGACGGCGACGGCGGATGTCGTGGAGGTGCCTCTTGCTGAGCTGAAAGACGTTGCGGAGAAAGGAGGTGAGACGAAGCAGGTGCATGTGTGGATGAGCGCGCGCGTTCATGTTTCGATCGGCGGTCCGCTGAGACCCGAGGGCCAGCGGCAGCTCTCGGGCTTCGTCTGCTTCGGCCTGGCACCTCTGTCGGCGCTACTGGCGTTCCGCTAATGTTGCCTGTTTTTCCAACAGTAATTGCCGAATTCGAGCCCACATCGAAACAGAGCCAACGTGTGATGTAAGATACCACACTCCCTGCCATTGCTGCAAGTTGGTCTTGCTTTGCTGCGACCTCTGGCTCCAAAGCGCCATTGCTCGCTCAAGAGGTTGACCAGCAACGGGCCAGGGGGTAGTATCAGGAGTGAATTATCAAGAGCTGCTCGAAGCTTGTCAATCAGTGTTGGCAAGGTGCAATCGAGCTTTGGAAATCGTCGCTGGGGCAAAAATTACATGTCGCGGAACGGGCTCACGCGGCTGGTTATTTAGGGGCGGCACCCCGGGTTGCTTCTCTCAGCCCAAAAGCATGAAGCACGCTCCCGATGATACGGCTTTAACTTTGACCCCCATACCGGTCCACCGCTCGTGCTGATGACGATAGAAGGTAAAACTTCGTAGGCTGAAAGGCCCAGGATCTACATACAACAGATGGACCTTGTCCACAACGGACACCTACCTTAAGTTGCACAAGATATCACACCCCTAGGCCTACTTTCAAAGCCCTATATGTTCCCACTTTGTGCTGAAAATGGTGGTGTTGGGGCCTCCATGTCGACGTCGAGAGCTTTCCGAAAACGTGTAGCTTTGATGTAGGCACCCTCACTTCGTCGTTGTGGATGAATCGAGCCTTGAACCTGCTAGCTACACTGGTTACACGAGGCGGAGATGGCACCGGTCGGGGAAATGGCACAGGGGTGCTTGCGTGCAACTAAGCTGAGCTCCAGGAGGCCTGCTGTGTGTGTGTGTGTGTGTTTTTATTATTAGCATCGACCGCGCTAACCGGCTGACCAATGAAAAGACGTCAGTCTTAGTGCGGTTGAAAACACAAAACACTTCTATCTACCATGAACTGGGACCCCGTGAGGGGGCAGCATGGTGTGTGTGTGTGTGTGTGTTTTTATTATTAGCATCGACCGCGCTAACCGGCTGACCAATGAAAAGACGTCAGTCTTAGTGCGGTTGAAAACACAAAACACTTCTATCTACCATGAACTGGGACCCCGTGAGGGGGCAGCATGGTGTGTGTGTGTGTGTGTGTTTTCATTGGGCACCTCACCGGTCGGAGAGATCGCACCGGGGTGCCTCGAAATAGCTACATGAAAGTATTCAACTGCATTTTCGCACCGGGGTCGGAGAGATGCACCCCGGTGCGAAAAAAAAAAAGGAACAACATGTACAAGCAATCGCACCCAGCGCCATCTCTCCTCAGCTATTTAAGGTAGATCATGTACCTGGAAATAAGGCTGCTGTTGCATTCTCTTCCTCGATCCTCTCAGGCCCGGCTACAGACAAGGATAGGTGCAGGTATCCCATCACAAGGGCGGTCGCGTTCTTGAGGATCGGGCCACTCTGCGTGCGGGGTATCAAGAGCTTGTACGTACAAGCAGCACGTCCGGAACTCCAGCATGTACATCTCTAAACTGAAGCGGTTACACACACCTCAGACTTACAATAAACAAAGAGCATGTTGTTTTTCTGGAAACTGACACCAAGGTGGCGCATGCTTCCGCTTTAGGTCGAACGCTCTACATTAATCCGCAGGGAAGTGCTACCTAAAGCATGGTTATTACCCCGGGAACCGCGCTGTTGTGGCCGCCTCCCCCATGGGTTCCGTTCTGTCAGCCGCGCTTTACCCCGAGCTACCGCACCCATCAGAAGCAGCTGCCTTTGGTCGCGGCTGTCCATTGAAGAGGCGGGTGGAGCGTAGTGCCGCGCCAATGCCAGGGTTATGGGGTCAGACTGGTATTCCGATCACCGTGGCTTTGTTGTCGAAACCGCTTGCGGAGCGCACACAGCGCGCACTGTCATATCGTGTGCAGTGGACAGCAGTGTTTTTCGTCGTGTCGTGGGCATGGCGCGTTGTGTTTCGCCGAGACTGTAATAGTTGAAGGTGAGGGCGGGGTGTCACCCCTTCCACAGCAGCGGTGCACCGGGTTGTTAGCGACTTGCACACTGACTGCCGGTACAGATGAGGTCGATTTTTTCCCAGCGTACATGGCCCGTAGACGCCGTACGTCAACGCCGCTGTACTCGTCTATCATCACTTCCCCCTTGGGCACCATCTTTGCTGCCTAAGTCTTCGCCATGGTTGTGTGCTTTTTTGCCTCGGTGGAACGAACGTCCGTGGGTGAAAGGATGTATCCGATGCCTGGTTTTCCTCTTTCTCCCACCACGAGACGTGGTAGTCAATAATGGTAACCCTCTAGGACGCATTCCGTCGGCTTTCGTCTACCCCACAAAGCCGGAAGTGCAATAGCATGGACCGAACGCATCAACGTGAACCGCTCTGCTGTTTTTTTGCGGCTGGTACGTGATCTCACTATCATCATTCTCGTCGTCGTTTGCGTTATCTATGTCGCCTTGTGCTGTCCCCTCGTTTCGACGAATGTCAAAATGACCACTGTACGTGTATGAAGTGAGCAAGCTGGGGTACAACGATGAAGAGACCAAGGTCATCTGCGACGTCCTAATGTACTCTCAGCTGAGGTGAGCTTTCTGCTTTCTTTGCCCCAGTCCTCTTTGCCGTGCCTGGTTTCCTCCGATACCCTCGCGTTGCTCTGAGACGCCCTCACTTTTGCTCCTCGGTAACGATGTACGAACGTTGCTGGCGCTATTCTGATCCAATATTGACATCCTTGCCACCACCCTCCTCCCTACAATTCTCATATGATCATGTTGTGGTACCTGGCACCCGTCGATAGCGCAAGCATCACAGGGAGCCACACAAAGTACAGGAGATCAGTCTTTTTGCGTTTTGGCCACTGTTCAGCCTCGGATAGAGTCGTGGCAGGTTTGACTGTGTACATGCCGTAGATGGTACCCGGAAACTTTGCCCAGAGTTGCAGATTTTTCGCACGGAGCGGGTTGTTGAACGACCTGCGCCCTGTGCTCTCCCCTTACGTCTTCCCTGCAACTTAAGACCGCAGCATCTTGTGCATAGCACCAGAAAGTATTTGCCGCTGACAGGAGATTATTTTTTTCGTTTGAGTGAGATGAGCTCCCTTCTCTCTTGGTTTGAATCCCCGTTTGTTTGTGGTCGACTTACTGAACTGCGCCCACCGGATTCTTGTTTTTTTTTTTTCTCGCCATGCCATCGCACACTCACACTCCCACCCACACGTTTTCGGCCGAACTGAACCTGACGTCATTTCGTTGGTTAGCCGATATCCGTGATCGTGGTGATTTGAGAAACACACACACACACACTCACACGCATTTTGATTTTTCCCGCTGGTAGTGACGTCGTCTTTTCATTGGCAGGCATGTTGACGTGGTCGATGCTACTAATGTGAAACTCACGTACAACGGATTTGCGCGGTTAATGCTACAGCAAGATAACACACACACCAGATCGTGGCCTTCAGAAACATTTCTTCCGTGTTTTCAACCGCAACGAGACTGACTTATTTTCATTGGTCAGCCAGCTGGCGTCGCCGATGCTAAAACAACACACCTACAACCGCACTGAAGGCTGACTTCTTTTCATTGGTCGGCCGGTTGGCCGCGTCGATGCCAATAACAACACCACACACACAACCGGAGTGAGAATGCCGACTGTTCATTGGTCAACCGGTTAGCGCGGTCGATACTAATAACAAGAGCACAGAACACAACACACACCCAAGGGGCGCACTGAGACTGCCGTCCGTTCGTTGATCAGCCGGTTAGCGCGGTCGATACTAATAACAATAAAACACACACACAACACACATCCAAGGGGGGGCAACCAGGGCCTGATCAAGATCATCACCCACGGCGCCGACAAGGCTCCGGACTGCGTGCCGGCGAAGGTGGTCCACGAGAGCAAGCTGTCTGCCCGGCTGGACGGGGGCAAGACCCACGGAATGCTGGTGGTGTCCAAGGCCGTCAAGATGGCCATCGCAAAGGTGTGGCAATTTGTAAAGCCACCTTTACCGTCGAAGCGTTTGTTCTGCGGTACAAGCAGCAGCAGCAGCAGCAGCAGCAACAACATGATACGGCGCTAGCGGCATCGGCAGCAATTGTCGATGCCCTGGGTAGAGTCTGGTTCTGTGGGCGTGGTTTTTCGAAGTCGAAATCAAACAACTTGACCAGTCAGCGCTGAGCAGTCTAATGGCCTCGTTTCGGTTTCTGTACAGGGTAGTCGTAGTCTCAATTCAATTCTGTTTCGAGGTACCTTGGTGGTCGTGTTGTGGGTTGGTGTCAGTCATGTGTTTTCTTCTTTCTTGCCGCGTCCAACCCACTGCCGAACGCGGGCGGTTCTCTCCCACCCTTCGACAGCAAACTACGTTTGCCGTATTTCCCTTGGTCTCAACTCGGCGTGACTGCTCCCGTTCGCGCATCAAGTAGACGAAGATCCGAACCACCCCGTTCTATGACACGTACCGCTCCTTTCTGGATGGAAGGAACGATGCTTCATTACGTTGCTGGTATTCTCCCCCCCCCTGCCCCCCCCCTACTTCACTCGCGTGTGTATGTCGCTCCTGCTGAACCTGGCCCTAGGCGTATTCCCAAACGTTGTGTACATGTCGGCGGTATTTGATGGCCTCTTCCTCCGTTCCCCTCCTTCTTGTCTGTTGGCGACCCCGCGGAGTCGCACGCCTACGGGCAATCGGTGCACCATCCGCTGCTCTCTTTTTGTGGTGTTCCAGATCGTGCTTGGAGTTTCACGCACCTCGTCTGTTGTATTCGTACGTAGCCACCCCCGGTTTTGTAGGGATGCCGAGGGTGAATGGTCTAACAAGTACACGGCCATTACTGAGTGTACACCCCCCACCCATCCCGTCCTGCCTTCTGTTCCAGGCGAAGGAGCACGGTTTCGGGATGGTGGGAACGTCGAACACGTCCACTAGCACGGGGTCGATAGGCTACTACGCCAGGGCGATCGCGGACGCGGGACTCATCGCCTTCTGCTTCGCGCAGTCCCCCGAGGTGCGTGAGTGTGCCAGGGTCGTCAACGTCAGTCAAGGGTACGCAGCACTATCTAGTGGGTCCTAGGCAACAAAAAAAAAAAGCCGGCATGTAGCCACAGACTGAGAACATTAAGTCGTGTGCTTCGAATAGCGCCGGTCCCTCTGAATGTCGCCGGTCGATTCGCCGGGCACATTCCTACCCGCATCATTGTGGGTTGCCCGCAAGTGTTGTATAATTTCCTCCCCGTGGTCGACGTGTTGTTGGTTGTACCGCCGTGTTTCATTTTTCGAAGCCATGATGATGGCACATTTTCTTGTTGCGGTTCAGTTTGGCGTTGTTGCTGTTGGTCGTTGGTGCCTTCGCGTTAGTGGGTAGTCGTCGTGCTCTCTCGCCCCCTTTCTCCGACCGATGCGTGTATTGACCTTACTCTTGCCCTAATGTTGGCGTGTACTCTTCGCTTCGCGCTCTTCAGTTCGTGGCGCCGTTTGGTGCGTACGAGGCTTTGCTGGGCACCAACCCCATCGCCGTGGGCATCCCTCGGGAGGAAGGGAAGGAGCCCATCGTGCTAGACATGGCCACCGCGGCCTACCCTTGTGAGTTATCGTTGGTTTCTTGTTGTGGTACTCTGCATCGATGAATACCTAATGAACCATTTGTTTTGGAAGGCCGTGAAATGTGTTTTCTACACACTCTTTTGTCGTTTGCCGGGATTTGTTTCAAACATTTGGTGTTGACAGATGAATACTGCTTTCGCAAGTCTTGTTGTTTTGAAGTGTTTCGCTTCCGTTGGTTTTCCTCTGCAATCGTTGTTCTTTGGATGGAAAAAGTTCAAGAGCAAGAGGTACAAGAGAGCAACCCCAGTGTTTTATCTCGTATGGTGCATGCACGCCTTCGGTCGTACATATGAAGTGAATCGAAGACACGCACAAGACGCCCGTTAGATTGTCTTTGAGGTGTTCACATGCACTCGCTGCCGGCTTCTGTTGCTGCTGCTACTGTACGCCGTACAACTGTGCAATCATAACCATCGTCAACAACAACAACAACAACAACAACAACATCAACACCATCGCCCCAAACAACTCTCAGTCTTCGGGCTGCTGGAGGCGAAGACGGCCGGGAAGCCCATCCCGGGAGACGTGGCCTACGACGCGGAAGGGAACGCAACAACGGATCCCGCAGAGGCCCTCAAAGGCGCCATCAGGGTTTTCGACAGGTGCGAGCGCGACTCGGCTTCGATCGATGCGGTTGGTTTTCGACAAGAGAGTACCTGCGAGCCGGGGGCATCGGACCGTGTGGAGCGTTTGCGGCTCGGTCGCGCAACGAATTCCGCGCTTCAGCTCTCGGTCCCACCTTCGTTCAACCTTTTGAGAGTCGGCTACCATACCACACTTCAAATGCACTCTTAGGTGGCAGCTTCCATGGAAGGTTCCCCGGGCAACAGTTGCCCTCCTGCAGAGGTTTCACTGCCATTTTTAGAGTGTGAGATGGAGGGTTCTCTTTATGTTTTTGATTCCTCACTCCATGGTACTCTTACTCTACAAGGGTTTATTGTTGTACCTCGGGAGAACCACAGTAGTAACAGCTATTCGAACAACCCAGAAAAGTCTTCACAGTAGTATGACCGGTATACCGCGCGAAAATAAGGGAGACCAAGCAGCACTGCATAAACGACATTTTTACGCCTGCTGGGGATACAGAAGCAAATGCCGTGGGGACAGACAGATTTCACCATGCTTGCGAAACACGCTCTGTGCTATGCTGTGGAGCCCTCGCACGCCCACCACCGCCCCTCGCGCTCTCTCCTGTCTGTCGGTTTGGCAACAAACTCCGTCGCGCGCAGGTCTTACAAGGGCGGGAACCTGTCCCTCATTGTCGAGCTCCTGGCCGGTCCTCTCGTGAGGTGGGCACCTCCCCGTGTTATCTTCCGCGTTGGTAGCACAAACCCCGTTACGGGCCCACAGCATGAGTCTCCGTCTGTTCCTCGTAGCCTCGCTCCAGTAGGCGACACGGTGATTTTTGCTTGGAGGTGCCCTCACGGCAGCGGGCTTAGGGCTGAGGCCATTCGGTGGCTTTGTACTCTACGAGGTCGAGAACGGGGTGACGCGGAGGGGAGAGCTTTGTGCATCCCGTAGATTCTTTAACAGGGGGCTTGTGGCGGTTTGTACCTCCTGGTTCTCGAACTTCTTGTGAACCTCTCGTGGGCGCACGCGTAGATGAGGCAGACAGACACTTTCCGCTAGCCGCTGAATTAAACAGTTGGAGCGACACGAAGAGGCTGGCTCTTGTTGTTTTGGTTCACTTTGCCCCCGCGGGAGCACATCCGTACGCGCACACACAGGCACTCATTACGGGGGCCCCCGATCATGACCTTCAGAAGTGTTTTCCGTTTTCTTCACGGTTACCGCGGGTCGGTGCTAGTCGTAGTCACACGCGCGCACGATCCCGTAACGTCCCGTAACGCCCCCTCGCGGGGACCCAGATCTTGGCCTTTTAGAAGCGCTTTTTTTTCCGGCCGCGTTGAGACTGATGTATTTTCATTGGTCAGCAAACCGGTCGATGTTGCCCCGCCATAACCCAAGAAAATCACACACCCTCACTCCATTTGCTCTCGTTGCAGCACGCAGCCGAAGCGCTACCCCCAATCGATGTCGGCTGCAGTCGTATCATCTCACAGGATCGCTCATTTCGATCCCGGGCGTGATCTGCCTGCACTCCTTTTTCTTGATTCCAGGGCGGCTACGACAGACAAGAAATCCGCCAAGAACTGGGGAAACCTGGTCCTCGCCGTCGACCCGGAGTTGATGGGGGACAAGGCAGAATTTGCGGTGAGACTTGTACTCTAAATAGCGGGTACACTTTTTCTATTCTTTTTTTTGTTCTCGGTCTTGGTCGCCTTTGGGATCGAAGGTGAAGAGGTGAAGCGTAAGGTGATGTTGCCGCCTGTTCCTGTCTTGTCCGAACGTTCTTCGAACGGGTAAGAGAGAGCTTTCGTTGTTCCTTTCACAGGAAGACTAGGAAAAATTCCACAAAAACGTCAGGCACGTCGTGCATACACCTGAGCAGAAAACGAAAACTCTCGCGAATGTCTGTGTGTGCGTATTGTGCCCCCCAGCTGTGCATCGAACTGGTGCGATAGTACTTGTGCTTTCGAAGGGAAACACTAAATGAGAGTTGAAGCGTTCGATAACACACGCCAGTGGCACGTAGTACAAACCTGAGCAGAGAAAAAAGAAGCTCTTCCTCCTGTGTGGTGTGACCACGGCTGTTTCGTCCAAGAATATGGGACCGAAGGTGTGAAAATCGACGTCCGGAAGCATTGGGATGGCATCAAACAAGCCTTTCCTCGGGTGGTCTATTCTTCTGGCCAAATCGCATGAAACAGAAGGGTCTTGTGTGCTCGTCCGACAAAATGTGTTTGAGCGGCTTTTGTGGTCTAGAGAGACTGGTCAGTCCCCGAAACCCTTGAAAGTGATGTTGGGTCTTCATCCAGGAGTCCTTCTTCAGGGAGTTACCCTTCTTGCAATTGTTGTTTGATTTCGTCCCCCGACCAAAGTTATTCTTCTCAACTTGATTGAACCAGTGGACAACCTCTCTCGTTGTGGGTGTGTTGGCGATCCGGCTTTTGGGGACACACCGTCATTGTTTCCCCCTATGGCGTGATTGTTTTCGGGTCATAATTAGTTTTCCGTTCATTGGCCCAGAGGTAGTATCCTCATTTTCATTTTATGCTTGCCTTAGCTGACCGTTTTTTCCGACGCCTCCTTTCTCGAGACGGGGCACCCGTTGCACTCCCAACATTTACCATTATATTATGTGCTGGCTACATATTTTTCGTTGATTTCTGGGGGGTGTGCTTTCTCTGATATTTTTGTTCATCCCCTACGTACGCGCTTGTCCCCAAACCTCCCCCGAAAGAACTACTGCAATAGACAGCGAGCATCTCCATCCGCAGCTGATAGAGCCCCCGATAAAATTGGCAATGGCATTTATGGCGTTGTCGGATACAGCAGAACCCGTGTCTCTACGATCCTTTTTTTGCACACCAATGAATAATGAAAATAAAATAGAATAATCCCACTGGGTGCTTTACGTATGTTGTATATGTTCGTCCTGGGTGTACGCAACCGGACGGTAACAGGCGGGTACGGAGACCGTTCTTGCGCGTATCAAGGGCGCCAAGAAGCTGCCGGGCGTAAAGGAGATCATGCTTCCCGGGGAGGGGGGGTCGGCGCGGGCGGCGGCGGTGTTGGCGTCCGGGGTGGTTAGCGTGGAGAAGAACCTCTACGACGGGATGAAGGCGGTAAGAGCGGCGGAGGGGGGGAAGAGATAGACGGTGGCGGAGGTGGGGTTGGAGGGAAGGAGGCGTCGAGACTGACAGACAGACAGACAGACAGACAGACAGACAGACAGACAGACAGACAGACAGACAGACAGACAGAAAGTTCACAACAGAGAGAGAGCAAGAGAAAACTGTAGAAACACTCTTGTTGTTTGTGTTAAAATGAACGAAACTTTCTGGCCCCAAGTCTGCCCACCACCTCTCACCCCCACACCATGTCGTGCTGGAGTCGGAGACTATGTCGTACAGTAGGTGAGCACGCGAGAACGATGAGCGAAGATGAGCGAAGATGACGAAAAATAAAGTAAACCGTTGTGCCCCAATCCGACACATACCCGCTCGGTGACGGCGGTACATACGCTTGCGTGCGAGAATCTGATGAGCTTCTCGGTCCCGGTTCGACACCGCGAGTAGACAATGCCTTGCTTGTTCGAGCAGGGTTCTTGTTTTGTTTCGCCTTGTTGGCAGGTTCGCGGGATCGACTTTCAGCTCTGTGTACACCGCACACAACAGTTCTTTCGATCTTGTCGTTACCAGTGTCACGAACCCCTCGTGTTTGTGATCCTAAGAGTGTTGTGCGTGAAGTTGTCCGATGTTTTTTTGTCGTATTCGGCAACCAGAGTGAAGGAAAAGAGGAGGGCGCCGATGAGCCATAGCTGGTCGTCTGTGTTACTTTTTTGTTCATGTTCGATAGCGGTTGGCTGGGTGCTGCCAATGGCCTTGATGTCGGCCAAAGGTACGCCAAGTGCCGTACCTGATACACTAGACGAAATCGCACTCTATTCGACCATTCACACACACGCATTGTACGTAACCCCTTTTGATTTGAAAGCGTTCTTGCGTTTTTTTAATTCGCTTTGAAGACGGGCGTATTTTCATTGGTAAGCCAGCTAAATAGCGCGGTCGATGCCAATTATTATTCACACACACACGTTGGCGTTGGCGTCTGGTTCTTTCAGACCCCAGTCCGGCGGCATCAATTTGTTTTTCACTTTTTTTCGCTCCTGTCGTCTTGGTTTGTTTGTCTCCGCCCGTCGGGTGTCACGACAACTCGCGGAAATTCCACAGGCGGCTGGCCTCTGATGGTGAGGGCCTGCTGTCGTACCGGGTGACCACCGTCGCCGCACCAGACGACGGTGCAGCGTCTGTTGCGTGGGCTGCTCGACAGTAGTTGTCTGCTGCTGTGGCGCTCTCGTACGGGCGTTCTTTTGGAGGTTCTTTGCCGTGCCGTGTGCAAGGAAGTGACGGGGTTACACAAGCTTGGTCGCGGCGAGCCCCCTAGGGAATGGCGCGCTTGTGAACTGACTCAGTTTGTTGTCGTCTCGGGGGAGGAAGGGAGAGGGGGGGGGGCGATGAATGGTTGGTTGTGTGGGGAGGTGTTGGCTCGTCTTCTTGTCGGTTTTTTTTACACATTGTTCTAGACAGATCTGCTTGCCGATGAGGCGGATGTCGCAGCCGGGCAGTAGGGAAAATAGAGTGATGATCGGGGGGGGGAAGCAGCAACTGTAGTATTTGATTTGCATGTAAAATTTAGAATAGAGGAAAAAAATAGAACGCGGTCGGAATCGTTACAAAAGCGTTTTTTTTGTGACAACAGAAGTCATTTTTACGCCTGGGTTCGTAGACTCGACATGCGTTATGAGGTTAGGAGATTTTTTTCTTGCGAAATAGAAGATGATATACGATGGCAACAGCACCGCGGACGACGTCCTAGGTTGTACGAGGCTATGCAGCAGTCGGTTGACGCACACAACACGCGGTTAGTTCCATTGCCCCGACCAGCGGGCGGTGGGATTTCACCGCCGAGCAACGTCCAGGGGTTGAAAGAAGTTGTATCGTAGGCATAGGTCCCCACGAGATTGTGAATTTTGTTGGTGAGTCTCACAAATCTTGTTACATGAATGCACAGGAATCCGTGTTTGCGTGGAAAGATGTCGGGTAGACTTAGACTCTGTCTCGTTTTGCATCGCACCTTTAGTATTTTTCGCGGTGGAGGAAGGGAGAGAGAAAAGAGAGAGAGAGACAGAGAGAGAGAGGGAGAGAGACAGAGAGAGAGGGAGGGAGGGAGGGAGGGAGGGAAAGGAGGGAAAGAGAAGGGTGCCTTATCAATGTCAAGCTGTTCTCGCACAGCACGGCTCTTGCAGCTTGGCCGCCGCCCTATGGAACAAACGCTACGTCGACATACGCCAACCCCCCCTGTCTCAAAGGACGCCGCCGGTGTCGCCCGGGGGGGTGGGCACTGCAGCGTCATCCCCGAAACAGAGCCTGATGCTTGCGCCCGCGCTGAGAGGGGAGTGTGAAAATAGTCATGGCGAACCCAACCAAGGAGAGGTCCCAACCCCGCTCTAGCAGGGTAGCGAAACTTTTGTTTTATGCGTTGCTCTGTACTTCGCGTACAGGTGCTGTGCGGCTACCGTCTACAATGTACATTCGCCTTCGATGGCACAAA